TAATAATAATAAAAAAAAAATAAAAAATAAATAAAAATTATAAAAATTATAAGATACAAACATGTAATTTAGTTTTAAAAGGTAAGGAGAATTTCCATGACTGAAGAGGATGTATTTTTATTACCATTCACAATGATCACTTTACTTGAACTTCCATTTCCAACTGTGTCACAATGAAACACAAAAGGAAGATCCAACCCTTGCTAGACTGATTCTATTATGGCCTCAACAACCAGCTCCTGGCCATTCACCTTCCTCCAGTTATTCAAACAACTCTAGTGCAGGTGCTGCTGTGAAGGGATTTAGCAGATATAATTAAGGGCCTCAATTAGTTGACTTTAGGCTGGGTTTATCCTGCTTGGACTGTCCTAATCAGCTGAGCCCGTTAAAGGACTAGGTTCTTCCTGAGCATAGAGATTCACAGTGTGAGAGGGATCCAATATGTGGGGTTTCCTCCACTGTGGCCTTTGAAAATGAAGGGGCTGCATAAGAAAAAATGCTTGTGGGCACCAGGAATTGAGCACAGCCCTCCCTGTTCTCTACAGTGACAGTCAGCGAAGAACAGGGACCTCAGTCTTACAACTGCTAGAAACTGCGTTCTGCCACCTCTGTATGAGCCTGAAGGAGGATTCAAAATGAAAACACAGCTTTGGGAAGCCCAGAACAGAGATTCTATCCACATCATGCCCAGATTTCTGACTGAGGAACTATAAACAGATAAATGAGTGTTGTTTGGCCAGGCATGGTAGCACACTCCTGTAACCCTAACATTTGAGGAGCTGACACAGGAGGATCTGTTGCAGCCAGGAGTTTGAGACTAGCTGAGATAAAATAGTGAGACACTCATCCCTACAATTTCTTTTTAATTAGTTGGGCGTGGTGTCACTTGCCCGCAGTCCTAGCTATTCTGAAGACTGAGGCAGGAAGATCCCTTGAGCCCAGGAGTTTGAGGCTGCAGTGAGCCATGATCATGTGAGTCTACTTCACCCTGGATGACAGAGGGAGACTCTGTCTCTAAAAATAAACAAATCAACAATAATTGGGTGTTGTTTCAAGTCAATGTTTGTGATAATTTTTTATGCAATCTTATAAAATTCATACACAGGCTCAACAGACTCATAGAATGAATTGAATTGATATGCATACTAGTTACATAAAATAAAATCTTAATTTGTCAGTGTTTTACATTTTATAACTTTCTGTGATGCAATTAATACACTCATATTTCATTCATTCAGTCAATAAAAATTAATTCAGTGCCTAAGATGAACCAGGTATGCCCTCATATGCTCATGTACCTGACATTCTAGAAGCTTCACAAGACCGAGGTGGAGCCACTAGAGTGTTTTATGTGAGGAAGTGACACACTGTGACTCACAGTAGCAGGACCACCGTGGAGAGAACAGTCACGTAGCAGGTAATGGGACAGTGCTAGAGCCACAGTTTAGGAGTGACAGGGTGGTGGGGACTAAGGGGAAAGGAGGGTATGAGGGATGAAAGGGACAGAGCGAAGGGCTGGAGAAGCAGGAGGTTAGGAAAAGGAGCAGAGGGAAGGAATTGGAAAGCAGTGGAATTCTTACGCTTAAACACACTGTTTTATAGATTTTTAATACATCCATCGACAGAGCCTTGCTGGGTGTTCTTCGTAGTTGGCCTTTAATACCTAATGTAGGACTGCCTAAAACTAATGTTTTTTATGTTAATAAGGTTTAAAAAATACTTAATGTTCCTTCTTTGCAGTTGACTTTTAATACCTTATTTGGGACTGCCTAGAAACAAATTTTTTTTTTAATTAATCAGGTTTTAAAAATACTAAGTGTTCCTATAAGATATACACACCACTTAGACGTGAATACCTCCTAAAAACAGGCAGTGCATAAGCATTGGTGAGCGGCACGGTGACGGCATTGAACACTTGAACTGTGAGGTGATTAGTCTGTACCGGCTCCTGGTTGTAACATACAGTAACACAGTGTGCTTCTTTGTATTGAGGCAATGTCTTAGACTCACCCAGTAACTCAGGGCTATGGAATGAAGGTAAATGTAAAATACAACAAGCAAGAATCACAGATACATTGTCTGGGAAAGTGAAACTTAGGAGCTTTGTGAATCCTGTTGTAACGCTTTTAGACATATTTATATATCAAGGGGCCAAAGTCACATTTTTTACCGATTAGATTCCTGATCATTCAGGGGTTACCAAGATTCTGCTACTCACTGTAGTTAATAAACAAAGAGCAAACTGGTCTCTATTCTATCTCAGGCACTCAGGCACAACTTTTCCGGGTTTAAAGGAAAAAAAAAAAAAAAAAAACTTGTCTCTACACCTCTATTCCCAGGAGGAGCTCACTGTCTGGCCCCAAGCTCCCTGGGGTGAGTTTTCTTCTAGAAGAGTCCAGGGGAACAGGTAAGGAGTGGGAGGCAGGGAACCCAGTTCTGGGATGGGGATTCCGGGATGAAAACTGAAGAAGGATGGGGCCCATGACGAGGGTTTCTCCCTGGTTTCTCAGACGGTTCTTGGGCCAAGACTGAGGGAGACATTGAGACAGAGGCTTGGCACAGGAGGAGCAGGGTCAGGGCGAAGTCCATGGCCCCAGGCGTGGCTCTCAGGGTCTCAGGCCCCAAAGGCTGAGTATTGATTGGGGAGGCCCAGCGTTGGAGATTCCCCGTCTCCGCAGAGTTTCTCTTCTCCCTCTCCCAACCTATGTAGGGTCCTTCTTCCTGGATACTCACGATTTGGACTCATTTCTCACTCTCATTTGGTGTCGGGTTTCTAGAGAAGCCAATCAGCGTCGGGGGTCCCTGTTCTGAAGTCCCCGCGAAAGCATTGGGACCCAGATTCTCCCCAGACCCCAAGGAGTGGGTCATGGCGTCCCGAACCCTCCTCCTACTGCTCTCGGGGACCCTGGCCCTGACCGAGACCTGGGAGGGTGAGTGCGGGATCCAGAGGGAAATGGCCTCTGCGAAGAGGAGCGAGGGGACCGCGCAACTGGGGCGCAGGACCCGGGGAGCCGCGCCAGGAGGAGGGTCGAGAGGGTCTCAACCTCTCCTCGCCCCCAGGTTCCCACTCCATGAGGTATTTCAGCACCGCCTTGTCCCGGCCCGGCCGCGGGGGGCCCCGCTTCATCGCCGTGGGCTACGTGGACGACACGCAGTTCCTGCGGTTCGACAGCGACGCGGCGAGTCCGAGGATGGAGCCGCGGGCGCCGTGGGTGGAGCAGGAGCGGCCGGAGTATTGGGAAGAGGAGACACGGAACACCAAGGCCCACGCACAGACTGACAGAGTGAACCTGCGGACCCTGCTCGGCTACTACAACCAGAGCGAGGCCGGTGAGTGACCCCGGCTCCAAGCACAGGTCACGACCCTTCCCCATCCGCACGGACCGCCCGGATCCCCCCGAGTCTCCGGCTCCGAGATCCACCCCGAGGCTGTGGGATCCGCTCAGATTCTCGACCCGGTAGAGCCCCAGGCGCCTTTACCCGGTTTCATTTTCAGTTTAGGCCAAAATCCCCGCAGGTTGGTCGGAGCGGGGGCGTGGCTCGGTGGGCGGGGCTGACCGCGGAGGCGGGGCCAGGGTCTCACACCTTCCAGATAAAGGATGGCTGAGACTTGGGGCTGGAGGGGCTCCTCCTCCGCGGTTATGAACAGCACACCAAAGATGGCAAGGATTACATCGCACTGAACGGGGACCTGCGCTCCTGGACCACAGCAGACACGGCTGCTCAGATCACCAAGCGCAAGTGGGAGGCAGGGGAATTTGCAAAGCAGGTCAGGGCCTACCTGGAGGGCCGGTGCGTGGGGTGGCTCCGCAGACACCAGGAAAACAGGAAGGAGACGCTGCAGCGTGCGGGTACCAGGGGGCACGGGACGCCTCCCTGATCGCCTGTAGATCTCCCGGGCTGGCCTCCCACAAGGAGGGAAGGAAAATGAGACCAACACTAGAATGTCGAACTCCCTCTGGTCCTGAGGGAGAGGAATCCTCCTGGATTTCTTTACAGATCCTGTACCAGAGAATGACTTTGAGGGTCTACTCTGCTCTCTGATACAATTAAGGGATGAAATCTCTGAGGGAATGAAGGGACGACAATCCCTGGAATACTGATGAGTGATTCCCTTTGACATCGGCAGCAGCCTTGGGCCCCGTAACTTTACCTCTCAGGCCTGTTCTCTGCTTCACATTCAATGTGTGTGGGGGTCTGAGTCGAGCTCCTCTGAGTCCCTCAGCCTCCCCTCAAGTCAGGTCCAGAAGTCGCTGTTCCCTCCTCAGGGACTAGAATTTTCCACGGAATAGGAGATTATCCCAGGTACCCGTGTCCAGGCTGGTGTCTGGGTTCTGTGCTCCCTTCGCCACCCCAGGTGTCCTGTCCATTCTCAGGAGGGCCACATGCGTGCTGCTGGAGTGTCCCATGACAAATGCAAAATGCCTGAATTTTCTGAGTCTTCACGTCAGACCCGCCCCGCAAGACACATGTGACCCATCATCCTGTCTCTGACTATAAGGCCACCCTGAGGTGCTGGCCCTGGGCTTCTACCCTGTGAAGATCACACTGACCTGGCAGCGGGATGGGGAGGACCAGACTCAGGACATGGAGCTTGTAGAGACCAGGCCCGCAGGGAATGGAACCTTCCAGAAGTGGGCAGCTGTGGTGGTGCCTTCTGGAGAGGAACAGAGATATATGTGCCATGTACAGCATGAAGCATTGCTCGAGCCCCTCACCCTGAGATGTAGTAAGGCGGGAGATGAGCCTGGAAGGGGAGAGGGGGGCGGTCATGTCTCTTAGGGAAAGCAGAAGCCTCTCTGGAGACCTTCAGCAGGAGCAGGGTCGGGGCTGGGGGCTGGGCATCAGGGGTCTTCACCTTCCCCTTTTTTCCCAAAGCAGTCTTCTCAGCCCACCATCCCCATCATGGGCATCTTTGCTGGCCTGGTTCTCCTTGGAGCTGTAGTCACTGGAGCTGGGGTCCCTGCTGTGATGTGGAGGAAGAAGAGCTCAAGTGCGGAAGGGGTGAGGAGTGGGGTCTGAGTTTTCTTGTCTCACTGGGGGTTCCTAGCCCCAGGTAGAAGTGTGCCCTTCCTGGTTACTGGGAAGCACACTCAGGGGCCAACCCAACCTGGGCCTTTGTGCCAGCACTTACTCTTATGTAAAGCACCTGTGACAAGGAAGGACAGATTTATCACCTTGATGATTGTGATGATGGGGACCTGATCCCAGCAGTCACAAGTCGCAGGGGAAGGTCCCTGCTGAGGACAGACCTCAGGAGGGCAGTTGGTCCAGGCCCCACACCTGCTTTCCCCATGTTTCCTGATCCTGTCCTGGATCTGCAGTTACACTTTTCTGGAAAATTCTCTGGGATGAAAGACTAGGGGGTATGCTATAGGGCCTTATGGCCCTGACTCCCTTCTGGCCTCTCACAGGACATTTTCTTCCCACAGATAGAAACAGAGTGATCTACTCTCAAGCTGCACGTAAGTATGAAGTGGGCTGATCCCTGAGATCCTTGGGATACTGTGGTCGGGATCCAATGGGAGAGCTTACCCAACCCCAAATTCCTCCTCCAGCCAAATCTCCTCTGGGCTCTGACCAGGTCCGTTTTTGTTCTACCCCAGGCAGCAACTGTGCCCAGTGTTCTGATGTGTCTCTCATGGCTTGTAAAAATGAGACCCTGGGGGGCCTGATGTATGTGGGGTGTTCAGGGGAACAGTGGATGCAGCTGTGCTATGGGGTTTCTTCGAGTTGGATGTATTGAGCATGCGATGGGCTGTTTAAAGTGTTACCCCTTACTATGACAGATAGAAATTTCTCCATTAATATTTTTTTTATAGTGTGAGACAACTGCCTTGTGTGGGACTGAGAAGCAAGATTTGTTCACGCCTTCCCTTTGTGACTTCAAGAATCCTGACTTTCTTTCTGCAAATGCACCTGAATGTGTCTGTATTCCTGTAGGCATAATGTGAGGAGGTGGGGAGAACACCCCATCCCCGTGTCCACCATGACCCTCTTCCCCACGCTGACCTGTGCTCCCTCCCCATTTATCTTTCCTCCTCCAGAGAGGTGGGACTGGGATGTCTCTATCTCTGTCTCAACTTTATATGCACTGAGCTGTAACTTCTCACTTCCCTATTAAAATTAGAATCTGAATATAAATTTACATTTTCAAATTCTTGCCATGAGAGGTTGATGAGTTAATTAAAGGAGAAGATTCCTAAAATTTGAGAGACAAAATTAATGGGAGACATGAGAACCTTCCAGAGTCGACGTGTTTCTTGTGCTGATTTGTTCCAGGGGAGGAGAGTAGATGGGGCTGTGCCCAGTGGCTGCTCAGGCCACCATGCGCTTTATGTGGTCACTGCTCAGCTGAGTCATCTTTGCTGCTCCATTGTCCTTGGCCCTTCAGTAGAACCTTGTCCCACCATGACCTGTGATCACAGGGACTTGGATGTCACCTAGGGTGGTCCCCGCATACAAGGGTCCTTGTGGTATCAAAAGACAAATTTTCAGAACTTTCAAGCTCTTGCCCTCCTCCCAGGGCTCCTTCCTGGATTGTATTTTCCGTCTTTTCTCCAATCTTTTTAAAGGAACCAGATTCTGAAATTTACAGAGAGGAGGGGTCTCATAGTTTCTCATCATAGGTAAGTTTCTGTTGGAACTCCTCTTCTGCACTTCCACTCTTCTTCCTGCCCTGAGTTGTAGTAATCCTAGTGCTGGCTCCAATAGAAATCCATAGATTTATAAAGCAGAGTCTAATTTAGATTCACATGTGGTTGGACAATTGGACCCATAAGTCTAGGGTTATCTTTCCTGAAGAGAAAAATATGTTAGTATGCTGCAGTGTGCAGGAGGGTTGGTGTGGGAGGAGGGAGGGAGGGAGGACACACCAGCAGCCCTGGTGAGAAAAGCTCTGCTGGCACTGATGTCAGTGTGAGATGATGTTGCTCTGTAGTTGCCACGAAAAGAAAAGCATTTGTCTAAGGCTACATTAACAAAGATATTGCCTCTAGAATAGAGGGGTTCTCTACAGTGATCATTCCTCAGCTGACATTTGTTGTCTCCTAGGGATATGACTGTTTTTGCATTTAGAAGGCATTATTAAAGTTAAAACAGAAAAATTTCTGGTCTTGTGGTGCATATGTTCTAGATACAAGCTTGTCCAACCTGCAGCTCGCGGGCTGCATGTGACCCAGGACAGTTTTGAATGTCAGGACTTTTTTTGCTTATTTGTGGTGAATGTGAGACCTGGAGTGAGTGCACCCACCTCCCTCAGGGTCAGGAGTGAATGCTTTAGGAACCCTCCTTTGCAGTGACCTGCAAAAGATAGAGAGCACATTTACTGTGATAACCCAGAGTATCAGCCAAAGGGGCTTGACCTTCAAGGAGTTGTGGGGAAGATTAATAAAGGATGGTGTCCCAGGGTCAGAACAGATGGGCAGCCAGCAAGGGCGCTGCTTCATATATCTATGATAAGCATGCAAGAATTGAGGAGCAAGCTTCAGATTCAGAATCCAGTGACTGACGAGGTATCCATATCCCTAAAAGAAAGAACCTTGCGACACCATGACAGTTACATGCTGGGACAATTCCATCAGCCCTTCTGCAAAGGAGCCATTTAATCAGGAGATGATATAAGTATTAACACTGGGTGTGAGCTGACATTGCTGCCCAGATTCCCACAGCACCATTATGTCGCCATCACAGTGGGGCATACAGAGGCTGAAGAATAAACCTGGACACATTATGACCCACAGTGGAATCGCTGGGTCCATAAACCCTGTCCTGGTTATCTCCCCATTCTCCAAGTGCATGATTGGCCTTGATGCACTCAACAGGAGTCACCCCACACTGTGTCCCTAGTCTGGAGAGTAAGGGCTCTCATTGTGCTAAAGACCAAAGGGAAACATCCCTCATCCAAGACAAACCAGAAGCAATATTGTGCCCCAGGGTGGGTCTTGTGGAGGGTACTGCAGGTATTGTAGGGGTAGCACTGCCATTAGAGAGCTGAAGGATGCGGGGTGGTATTGGGGTTGCCTGTAATCTCCATATAACTCAGCAATCTGTCCCTGAAGAAGCCTGATATGGCTAAAGAATGAATGGAATTACTCCAGACTCGACCAAGTAGGAGTCCTGATTGCAGCTGCCATACTGGCTGGATATCACTGCTTGGGGAGATTAATAATGCCTCAGGCACATAGCAAGCAGCTGTGGATTTGGTGAGTGCATTCCCTCTCATTTCATTTAGAAGATGGAAATGGAATGATTCACACTCACGTGGGATTTATAATACGTTTATTGAAAGCTTGCCTCAGGGCTACCTTAACTCCTCAACCTTCTATAAATGTCGCCTTGAGAGACCTGGACAAATCAAATATCTCACAGAATACTACATCTGCTCATTTCATTGACAGTATCACATAAATTGGGATGGATGAGCAAGAGGAGGAAAGTATGCTGAATTCCTTGGCAAAACACATGCACTACAGAAGGTGAAGATAAACCTCACAGAGCTTCAAGAGTGGCCACTGCAGTGAAGTATTATGTGTCCAGTAGTTACAGGCATGCAGGGCTCTCCCCTCCAAAGTAAAAGACACACTTGCATCTTGCATCCTCACCACAAGGAAGGATGCAGCACACTGCCTGGTCAGCCTCTCTGGGTTCTGGCAATGCCACATTCCACATCTAAGTATATTGCTTTGGCCCACACTCTGGGTGATATAGGAGGAAGCCAGCTTTGAGTGGGGCCTGGACAGGAAAGGACACTGCTGCAGACCCAAGCTGTGGTGCAGCCAGTCACCATACCTCAGACCCATGGTGCTGGAAGTGGCAGTTTGGGGAAAGATGCAGGATGGAGCTGAACCAAGCATCAGTGGGAGTCAGAATGTAGGGCCTGGGATCTGGAGTAAGGCCATGGAATCCACAACAGAAAAATATGCTGCCTGTTAGAGGCAACGTTTTTCATTTTACTGGCCCTAATAAGAGAACCCTTGATCATGGGACACCAAGCAACAATATGATTCCAAGTGCCCAAATTTATTGGCTTCTATGTGACCCACAGAGTCACAGACTGGATAGGCCCAGCGGCATCTATCATGAGATGAAAACGTTCCATGTGGGTTGAGCCTCAATTCCATGTTAACACCCACAGAAAACACCCAGTCCTGACGTGGCCCTGAATCGCCAAATAAATTGAAGATAAATTGAAGTTAGCCAGTCCACATCATGGATCAGCCCAGGCCTGATAGGAAGGACCCATGAGTGGAGCAACCACAGTGGTAGGGATGAAGCTACAAATGAGTCCAGCAGCACTGACTGCCCACTACTAATACCAATCCAGCTACTGCTTCCACTGAATACTCTGCTTGTGAGCATTACAGACCAATGATGGGCACCGATAGGGCACTATTTCTTCAGGTAACTGACTAGCCCCTAAGTGACAAGTTGAATAGCTTGAACCCCATCCATCCTGGAAGGGGCAGAAGTTCATCCTCACAGGGATAGGCACCTATTCGATGTGGTGTGGTTTTCCTTTCTGCTCTCAGACCCTCAGCCAGCGTCCCTATTAGAATTCCTGATCCACTGGCTCAGAATTTCAGTACATTATCTGCCTGGGGGACACACCTCATGGGGAAGGGGATGAAGCATGGGCCATGACCATGGGATTCCCTGGTCATATCACCACCTGTGCCTCTCAGATCCTGCCAGGCACACAAGAGTCATGGACAGGACCCTGCAGGCACAACTCACTACCAGCTTGGATGAAACCCTCTGAGGAATGGGTGTCATTTTTCAGGATGTGATACATGCATTGAATCAAAGACATCTCTGTGGTGCTGTTTTCAGAAGGCAGAATACGTGGGTCCAAAACCAAGAAGGCGAAGCAAGTGTGTCTCATTCCTTATATTCACCCCCAGGGTGATTGATTTAGTTATAAGTAAATAAATACATAACATAAGTAAAAGAATTTATTTATTTATTTATTTTATTCATTATATTCACCTCCAAGGTGATTTTGCTTTTCTTACCTCCAAAATCTGGACTCCACAGGGCAAGAGGTTCTGATTTCTCAAAGGGGGCACCCTGGCAAGGTGACAAATGAGAGTCCATGGAACTACACATTGTGGTTGCACCCAGGGATATTTGAATAGTATGTGCCCAGACACAAGCTGGTGAGAAGAGGAGGAGGCAGGGCTGCTATCACACAATGAGGGCGGGAGAAGTGTGCATAGAAACCAGGAATCCACTTGGGGATCTCCTGGTTTCCCTTGCCTGTTGTAAGTGTGAGCAGAATCATCCAGCAACCCAGCCTGAGAGGGTTTGATATTCAAGAGCCCAGAACCCTCTGTAAGGAAGGATTGAGCCATACTCCTAGGTAATGTACCAAGGCTCCGCTCCTGTGCTCTGACATCCTCAGCAGGATTAGTGCAGAAGCCCTGCTTCCCATGAGTGGTTCCCAGCCAGTGACCGGTCACAGCAGGCGCACTAAGGCGGGCCATTACCGGAAGACAGGGGACTCCTCTGATGGCCAAATGTGGCTCCAGAACTCCTCCATGCCCTTGCTCAACCCTCCTTAGATTGCCTGTGCTCTTGGGCACGTCAAATAAACTTTCTCTCCTTCTGTCCAGCACTTGGGGTCACACTTGCATCATTGTCTGCCGCCTTTTCCAGGGATTTCTGGTTCACTTCCCATATTCCCTTACAGGTGTGTCCCCTCATAAAATGCTGCAGACTTTAAGCTCCTCTTGGCATCTGCTCCTT